TTTTCTAAGTTTCATAAAAACCCTTACAGCTTTCGTTTCATTGCTTTTGCCACGCATTCCAGTATCAAGCCTTTGAGTATACTTTTACATCGCATTCTTCAATTTTTCCGCCAGCATCTTCGTAACTACGCGGCTGCTGCACAGCGCAGATTACGCAAGTGCCTCTTTCACAGCGTACGTAACTCTAGTGAAGTACTACCCTTTATCAGCGAGTAGGACCTGTTAATCACCTACACAAAGCCGACTTTTCCACCCTATTCGCAAAACTCCCGCATCACGTAATCTATGATGCGCTTAAGCTATCTCTCTACCCTTTGTTTTCATAACGCTCAGTCTGATGCCCTTCTCATTACTTCTAATAGGATCTTCTATCTTGAGTACCTTAGCCCCCGTTACTTCGGAACCGCTTATTCGGGCACTGAAATAGACGGCATCCTCCGTTACGTTGTGCATGAGTCCTATATACGTTTCGCTGGCCACATCTTCCGCCAGGCGAAAGGTGTTCCTGTGGATGGTAACGCTGGCTTCGACATTGCCGACCTCTCGTTATCAGCAAACTTCCCACTCCCCACAGCAAACTTCCCACTAGCCCCTCTCCCCCTTCTGCTTCGCCGTTATGTCGATGATATTTTAGTCCTCAACTGCCCGAACTTTCTTTCCCCTCGTCTAAGCATTTGGCCAGGACTTCGGCATGGACAGTACAGGTCCTGGTACCGTTGTCAATTATTTCGACCAGACCTTTTCCATAGACAGCAGTGCTCGCATTGCTTCTTCACTTTGTTGTAAGATTGATCTGTTCACCTTCCCCATCATTAAATATTCCTCTCTTCGCAGCAACTTACACCCGTCTGTCCACAACGGTATTATTTACAGTCAGCTTAGTAGATAGTTATCGAATCCACTTATCATTTTTTTTATCACTTCCGCTCGTCGTCTCCTCCTCCACTACTCCCTCAAAGGGTTTTCTTCTCACAATATTATTCGACTTGATCACACATTTGTGCACCGAAATAAATACCATTTCTCTAAGTATTTCCCTCCTACTACGTCCCTCTGTCGACATCTGGTACACGCCGCTCTGCAATAATTATACTACCCTAAAACACACGCATACATCGTGTTGCCAACATTCCGTCCATATCGCTACTTTCTCCCCTTGTCATGATAATAATACTTCCATCTATGTCAAATCTGAAGCGTACCAAGGCCAGTGGCGATGGTGTTCCGCCGAACAACCACACGGACCACAGAGCGTCTATCGAGGTTTTACTTTTATATTACCTTTTTTTGTCTTTCCCAACTACTCTAAATTTATAATTAATAAATTCCCTTCCCTCCCTTCCTCTTCTTTTTTCCTTTTCCTCCTTTTTTCTTCCTCTCTTACATTCCTTCCTTTTGCTTCTGTTCTCTGAACACCACGACCGTCATACT